CACATACTCACAGGATTAAAGCTACCTCAGCATTTTCTTTCACTTGCAATAAATGCAATTTTTTTTTTTTCAAGTGCTCAGAGTTTTGTTCATCAAAAATGGTATTTTATGTTTAGTCAATTATTCATTCTAGCTATACAAGTAGAGCAATATAGAGTTCAAAATATGCTCCAGATGGTAAAAACACAAATCAGAAATAAATCAATTTATAAAAAAGGAAGAGATTTGTTTTTATTGCCATAATTTAACTTTAAAATATTCACAAGCTTCCTTCTGGTTCTAAATTACCCCAGTATACTTTGAGCTAATACCCTTCTGAAGCTGGAGAAATTTAGAACTTACTGGTTTTTGGTTTTTTTCTAAAAGAGTGTGATATCTGATGCCAAAATAATTCACATCAGAAATATACTTTTACGGAGCAAAAGCCCTCAAGAACAAACACTCCATCACACTGAAACTGTTCTCAGTGTACATTTGTAAAAGGAACACACTTACTCTAAACCCTAAATGAGCCTTGCCTGGAGAGGAGATGAAGCCAGCTAACTAAACCAGACCAGAGAGATTGAGAAAGGATAGAAGTGGAATGTGACCCTGCATTTTTAAACAGTGATAAGGAAAGAGCTTGATCTTACTGTTATACTATTCTGGTACAGTTCATCTTTATTTTTTTTTTCAAATTGAATTACGCTATCTTCAATATCAAACACATTCTGGCAGGTGTCTGGCATAACAGTTTTGAATATAATTTCAAATTTCCACAGCCCTAATGCATAAATTGAAGTGTAGACTGGAACTAAGTGTCTGTCCATAGTTCTGAGAGCGACACCACATTTACATTTTGTCGTCTATTCCACGTAACAACCAGCAATTCCAAGGAGATTCTCCTATTTTCAATTACTAATAGTCACACAAAAATCAACTTTAAAATAATTGACAATACTTTGCTGAGGACCACATCCACATATGCAGAGCATAATAAGAAAACCTCTGCATTAAAATTATATAATCATTCTCACTTCAACTAAAATGATCAAGGAACTACAGCACAGAAATAAAAAGCTGATTTTTTTTTTTTTTTTAGCTGTAGCAACAGAGTTTACACTAGAGGCAAGCACATATTACAGGTAAAGAAATATTTGCTCCAGTACAAACCCATATTTGGCCACTACACCATTCACAAAGTTTTTACAGTCATTATCCCAAAGAAATTAAAAGAAATAAATATTGAGAACTAAAGCAAGACTTAAAAAACATGAAACAGTCAAGTTGCTAAATCCTAGAACAAGTCAGGAAAAACCTAGCTAAATTCAACTTTCAGCCCACAGATAATAACCACAAGTAAGGTCACCTACTGAATTTATCCAGTCTACTACTGCAAGATTGTGCAGTAATTATTACTCTTTATAATAGAAACCTTGCATGGGGGGAAAAACAAAACAGAACCAAAAAAATGAACACAGGTTTTGTTTAGTGATGATATAATCACTAAACAAAAACATACAAAATGGGCTATTTGAGAAAAATTTCTTGACTGAATTCAAATTATTCACACAAGTAAGGATATGCACAATCAGGCCCATAGTTACTGAGCAAAATAAACATATCAACTCATTAAAGATCTATCTGCCTGAATTTATCTTTGCTTTCTCTTCAGTTCTTATGAGTTATTCAATCATTTCCCATCACCCAGAAAAGGAAATATTGCACTGTCAAGACAGAGCTATAATTAGATATTCTTCTATTTCATTTCACATATATGACTGAATGAAAATGGATGGGAAAAATATGAACAGAGATAATAACAGTAAGTTGAAACATTCAGTAAAAATATATATTTGGCACAGAATAACATCTCAGTTCTTCCTCAGCACATAATGCAGTGTTTACTGCAAAATTAGTTAAGTTAGTATAAGAGATTTTTAATGAAAACAATTATAAATTTAAAATAACTGTGTTTAAACCATTTAACAGTCCCTAAGGTCAAGTGATTACAGCAGTTACAAGACCCAAGGGACATGTTCACACCAAAACAAAGTGAATAAATTACCTCAGCCAGTGTATGTAATCACTAAGTGACCACAGAGGTTATTCAATGTATAAGCCCAGATAACTCCCATGCAAAACCAATAATGAAAATGTAACAGCCAAAGGGAAAAAGCATTTAACTAGCAAAAGTTGCTGGAAGGGCTGACAACTTGGTGGAGTGGGAAAGAGACAAGTTCCATGGCTTGGCTGTGGAGACAAGGAAGAGGATGAGTGTTAATGAAATGGACAGACAAGATGCCAAGGTGAAAGACCCAAATTGTTGCAAAGGGATGCGAGGCTCAAAAAAATATAAAAAATATTAAAAAAAAAATAAAATATAAAACTGCAGAGCTTTAAGCAGTGCTCTCAGCCCTGTGTAACTCTGGTATATGTAATGCCCAGTGAGCTACAAGCAAGGCAGGAGCTCAGAATAATCACCTTTTAACTCTCCCTTTGGCTTTACTGCCAGGAAAAATTACAGGCAGTTATTGTGTTTTAGTTATCCCATTATATAATTCCAATGGAGGCACGCCCCTGTTTTTAACCACAGAATAGGTAAGATAAGCTGCAAAATAAAAACCAGCTTTGATCTGGCTTCTCTCCCTCATGACATAAATGATACAGATGCCTTGTCTTCATTGCAGCAACACAACACCATTGCCAGTGGAGAAAACCAGACCCATGAAAGACAAGAAAACATTTTTCTATAAGGACCACCATATATTTGATGGCAGTTCTCAGTGTGTAGCTTTGGAATAAGGTTCCTACCAACTATGGTGAAAAAGGATACTACTGAGGAAGCAAAAGGAACCCTGCTTGCTCCTGCCTGCCACTGGAATGCATTTTTTTTTATCTACTGCACATCATCACCTCACATCCTTGAAGGAATGAAATCTTCACAATACACACAGTAAATAATAACACAGTAACAGGTAGAACACAATTAACACATTTTGCAGATAGGAGTCTGAAAAAAGTGGCAAAAGGACATGCCTGACTTTAAGTCTGATTCCTGGTGAGGATGCACTGAAGCAAGCATTCACCAACATTCCCACAGGGGAATCAATTTACTGTCTTGCCCTGTGCCAGGAATCTAGTAACTGCTATTGTCATAATTTACATATAATATATATATAAATGAGAAAATGCAAGTGGACTCTATGAATGTAAAAAAAAAATAAAAATAAAATTCTGTGTATCTGAAATATGAAAGCCTGAGGCCAAAGCCAGCAGGCCCTCACACAGTTAAAGCTTCCAGCTTCAGTGAATCTGACTGCAAAATCTGCTTTCTCACATAAATACTATACTGTCTTCTACAAGAGCTATGCATACATGCAAAGAAAGTCCCCTGGTAAATTATTGAGGCTGGAACACAACCTATTCAAAGGGTTGTAATTCTTCTGTTGGGAACGCTAAGCCAAGGATCTGTGTGCTAAAATATCATCCTGAAACCCCCTGTTAGATACAAGGAATGTCAAGTGGCTGCCAGTGCTGCAAGATTCCCCAGAGGAGGGTGAAAGCACCCTGGCAGATTATTTGGGTTGGCTTTCTGCAGCACTGAGTGTTTTCAAATGCCAAGCACTGGCCTGGCCATATCGAAACAGCATTTCTTAAATTACCCAAGGGCCAAAGAGGAACTCAGGTGGCCAGACACTGCTCTTAGCAATGCACTCAGGGAGATCTGTGCTTCCCCAAAAGGCAAATATCCTCTTCTGGAGCTGCAATTACATGCCCAGAAAAAGGATAGTTTTGAGCCTATCAAATCTAGTATCACTTTCTAGAAATAAGAACAATAAAGCTAAGTTACAGTGATATGACCAGAAAGCCCCACTCCCACGTGCACAGCAATAAAACAGAAGGGAGAACATTCACTAAAATAGGGTTTTGGAAATCAGAAGAGGTCAGGTAAAAAGAAGAGTATGAACAAAATGCAAAGAAGGATGACAAGACAGACAATGTAGAAGCCCTTCTATTTAAAAATTCCTTTTGTAAATCCAAATGTTTCTTACATATCTCCTGAAGGGTCAGCCAAGGAACTCCAATGCAATAAAATGATTCTATTAAAGGCACGTAGAGATGCTGCCATCACACAGCAAGCAAGAGAGAGTGCAGTAAAACCTGATGACAAAGCCATGCTTTGAAATATTTTTTACACAATTCTGTAAACTCCTTCTAATGTTGTTTGAAAATCAGCTGTTCAAGTCACCTTCAGCTCTGGGTATTTCCAGTGCGAGAGGTGACCTGGCAGTGCACAACCAGGCTGCCATTTACCACAGGAGCCTCCTGCACAAGTTCCCCTCCTTTGTTTTGGTTTTCTGCTGCTGTTGCTATTTAATTGCCCTCAATTCTAGCAATGTGCTGCCAGGGCACTGCTGTCAAACACAGCAGAATATGAAAGGTATTCTACCAAAGTGGTGCTGACTGCCTGTGATCAAAGTCAAAATGCCAGTACTCCAACTCAAAAGGGCAAGCACGTGGATATCACCCCCCAAAAAATTCTCCTCTTCCAAACAGTATTACTGATTCTGTCATACTGTATCATGGGAAGAAGGACTTTCATCATTTCCAAGTAGCTTGTAATATCTTGTAGCTTCCAGCGCTGCTTTAAGTTATAGCAAACCCAAAATACAGCGAGCAGCAGTTTTGGCTGTGGATACAAAACCGCTCCAAATTGGGACACTGCACTCTTTGTATGAGGTGCCACCACCACCTCCTCAGCACTCCCAGAGAGCTACAGAGCTCTTGCTGTGCAATGACAGAACCTTTTCCCCAAGGTAACACAGAAATACAGCAAAGTCTCTAAATTTGTCTTAATTAACAGAATTATACTGAGGCTAGAAACAGCACATCACATGAGGACAAGCGAAGTAAGGGTGGGGGGAGATTTTCGAGTGCCCTAATTCAATTAGGAGGCAGTGAGTGACACTTGGACAGGAGAGGTTAATTGGGGTCACCAAAACGCAGTAATTCCTTACCTAACCAGTCATTAAACTTCTTGACCTCTGAGGGCAGTCCCAGCTCGGTGAAATCGCCCGTGTGAAGAAGGATGTCCCCATAAGGCATCTGGATGCCATCTGTTCTGGAGTGCGTGTCTGAGACGCAGACAAAGCGCGTGTGGCCCGCTGGTTTTGGAGTGTCATATGGGATAGGGTCGACCCTAAAGCAGACACAAAGATCTCGTAACAGTCACAAGGTTAAAACCCTCACATCCATTATTTCACATATATCAGCACACATCTCTCTTGACGAAAGCATCCACGCATCCACTGACAGACACCACGCTCTGCAACAACACTGCCAAAAACCCAGCAGGGACCACGCTGCTGCTCAAGAACTTACCTGGTAAGGAAAGGAAGATTAAAATATACACTAGATACAGCCACTTTCGGGTACTGAAGTGTATTTAAACATTGGAAAAAATGGATTTAGGAGGCTTTGAATGTTTTACATCCTGTGCCTTATACACGAACAGGTACATGAAATAACATGTCTGACAGGTGGGCCAGGAGCAGACCCTCACCTGAGCTTAGCAGCTGATTTTGTTCAAGATTCCAGATTCCAGCACAGAGTATTTGTTTACACACAATAAGGTACATTCAGGAGTGGTTTGGTGAAGGCTGGAAACTACAGAACCAAGCCTAGTGACAACTTCCTAAACTCATCCAAAATCCTGAGCTCGTCTTCCCAGAATCTATAAAGCCAGGAACTGATGTGCTATCGCACTAAGCTATAAAACATATATTTTTTATTATACTTAAATTTACAGATATTTTTGTTTTATATATACATATTATATACATATATTTATATAATATATACATATATACACATACATATGCATATAATATATAGCATTATATACATATATTTATATTATACATATAAAACGGGTTTTTTTTCCCCCCTATAGCAAACAATGCTAAAAATTTAGTCCAATTGGTTATTTGCAAGCTATATTCGATAATTTGATCTTAACAACTACATGTGACCCATCATGGGAGTCTGGTCATTTGGTTTTTGGTGACTATTTTTTTAAGCAGAATAGAGAAAAATATTAGGTAAGATAAATGCTTTATGCATACTTAGTGGTTAGAAGCTCTAATTTGTAACAGAGTCACTTAAATACAAAAGGCAAGCCATTGCCTACTTTGGAATAGAAATGATTTCTCTGCAGAGTTACCATAATTTGATTTGCTCAACACTTGAATAGCACAGCATCTGGATTAGTGCCACAGAAAATCCCATCCCAATTCCACAAAACTTCAACTCATTCCATTGATGTGCCACTTTGATCATGGTTAGAGCTTAGCTTCAGCTAGAAATTTTGAGGTATTTAGGAGTTATGTCAGAATAATAGTTCACTTACATCTCAAATTATCAGGCTAGTGAAACCAAGCTCCAGCTACTTTAAAGCATCCAAAATAATGCTGTTCCTAAGACTTATTTGGACAAACTGGCACATCAGGCATTCAAAAATCAGTTATCTGAAAGTAAAAATAAAATTAAACAGGTTTTACTAGTTTTGCTCTCCACACTGAAAAGAAAAACCAGTAGACATCACTGTGAATTTGTTTGTCCTAAATCTCCACACTTATAATGAGATGTATGATCAGTAATAGAAAATAAAGCACAAACCTTAAGAAAATACTGACTTTTGAAGTATTACTTTTGTTTACTGAACTGTAAAGCTAAATTAGCATTTTTTTACTGCACACTGAACAGTGTGAAAACTTCTACCAGTGCCTTCAGCTCCCTGAATAGGTGAGAAAGACCATAAACATCCTCCAGGGTGCAAATCAGTTCTCTGCTCTGGGGAGTTTTAGAGTGGTTCCAGAAATCAGACTCCATATGGGATATATCCTGGTCTCCAGTGGGAAACTGTCTCTGTGAATGCATTTACTGACAAGATTCTGAGTCAGAATTTAATTTTGTTAGAATTTTTAAATTATTTATTCTATTTGTTAGACTATTCACAGCTAAACTATTAGTGGGGGATGCAGTAGGGGGGAGATATTTGTCAGACTGCGTTTTCCTAGGTACCATAATTAGGCCTTTCCAATCAAGCTGTATTTACCATAAAAGCACCATACCTCATTGACATGGGCCACTGAATTAATTTGCAAAATTCAGGCTCTGCAAGATGATGCTTACTTTAAAAACAGATTCTACTGCCAGCTGGACTGGAGAGAAGAGTATTTGGTAGATAACTCTTTTTGGGGTTTGGTATTGTACCTCCTGTTCCACCCAAAGGACCAGGTACAATTACCTGAGCCGTGCAACTGGTTACCACTGCAGAAACCCATGACAAAACTCCAACAATCAATGGATTTTATTTTTATTTTTTTTTTACCTCAGCAAGGGTCTGAAGCTAATAATGTTATTTTTCCAGAGAAAACTTAATTTACCCATTGAATTTGCACTGGCAAGCTGGGCAGAACTGCAATCAGAAGACACAGTGCTTTTTCACCATGGTGTCTTCCTTCCAAAATATGGGAGTCCCCCAATCAACATTTCCCTACTTCCAAGCATGTTTACTCCAGACAACACAAAAAAATGAACACCAGCTTTCATCATCACCACATAACTTGATCAGAATATCTCTGCTTGAGCTATGACCAGCACTGCCTGCCCCAGGGAGTCCCATTTTGTTTGTACACAGCAGCTATGCTTTTGCTATTCTCTGCAGTTTGCAGCCAAACAAACCCTGTTCTGCTTGAGGCAACCCCTATTAGAGTATGACACGGAAATCTGGTTTAGGATTTTTCTATTCATGCAATGGCTTACTTACAGAAAATTCTATAATCAAAATTCATTAAGCCCCTGACCCTTCTTCCTCTTCTTTACAAACACTACGATGTTGCCAAGTAACCTTTTTTCTACATCTTGGCTTTCTTCTCTTATTCAGTAGTGCTTGCCTACTAAGTATTTGAAAGTGAGATACTGAAGGTTATTGTGTTCAGTCCATCAATTTATCTTACACAAAATAGTCCTTCAATAGAAACTTAATAAAAGTGGTGCTATTGCCAGTCCTAAAGGCTCAAGTTCTCCTTTCATCCACAGCTACAGCATGGCAAACAGCAATATGAGAGTCTCCTTCCCCGCTGCATCCCAGGAGGATTGGGCTCTGAAGGCAATTCACAGCTCCTGGTGACACAGCAGCAGGTTCTGGGCTGTGAGCATCACCCCTTCTTCCTGGGCTCTGATCTACTCACAAACCAGCAGGGCTGCACACTGCCATTGCTAAAACCTCTGTGGCAGCTATGCATCCGACCCTTACTGCAGATCAACAGCTGATAAAATAATTAGTAAATAAATAAAATAATAAATATTTATTTAAAAATATTATATAAATATATAATATATATTATAATATAAATATATAAACATAAATAAATTATTTTTAAAATAAATTTAATAAATTAAAATTAATAAATCAAAATAAAAGTAAATAAAATAATTATTTCAGCCCTGTCCACCACCACCCCGCTGAATCAGAGCACACACCTAAGAAATTCAACTTATTCTTTACCTTTGCTCCAAACACAGTGCAACTAGCTAAACCTGACACTCTCCATCACCACCAACACTTTATTTTTTTCTGCCTTCTTGACATGGCAGACTGAAACACTTCACAGATTATTTTGATTACTGCGTTTGGAACAGCATGCTCGTGGAAAGATGCAGTAAGAGATAATTTAAATGTTCATATATTAGGATTAATGCAGTAATCAGGAAATAGAAAACAACATATGTTGCACCTTAGAAAATCAGGCACTTGGCTGTTTTTAAAAAAGTTTATGCAGGACCCAGAATGAAATCCCGTAAGGCAGTTGAGCAATGACTGCTTTGTGAGATCATGACAGTAATGTAAGATCTGTCACATTTAATGCATTTATGACAAGGGTTCAGGAATCAGAAGGGACAATGTAACCTTCATACACTTCTAGAAGAACCTTGTTTATCAGATAAATACTTGGCTGTACTAAACTGCCCTTACCACCAGCGGTTCTCATTTAGAGTCCCACAGGTACGAACCTCCAATTTGCAGTTCCTCATGAAAGGACAGCATTATCCAGGCTCTGATTTGGCTTGCTCAGGTTATCACTCAGCAGCCCCTTCCCCAAACCCACAGCTACCACAGCCCTTCCAAAGCACTGGATCCGTGTCAGCCAGGGGGGGAGTGCTGCCCCTTGCCCTGCCAGCTGTGCACACAGCAGCCCAGTGCTGCTCCATCCTGGGGTTGGTACCCTGTCCTCACCCATCATACAGCAGATTTCACTGTGATTTAAATTTAATTTAAATTTAAAATGTAAAAGTGAGAGATTAGATAAGCAAGCATGAGCAACACAGAAGATATTGAGGGGGTTTGAAGAGCGAGGTAGTGGGGGCTGAATTCAGCAGCTCACAAAAGGAGGAGCACCTTGGGCCTTCCACGTGCACAGGGGCAAAGGACTTGATTTAGGATGTCTTGCTACGAACAGACATTTTAACTGTGTATTTCAGCCCAAGCCTACACCAGTTAGTCATAATGATGTCTTATAAATCAGCAGCGTTGGAAAGCTCCTCTGAGACAAGCAGGGCAGTGCAGCCCTCCTACAGACACAGCTGCAGGCACAGCCACTCTGGGACCCTGCCTCAAAACAACTCAGAAAATACACAAGCACCATTTTCCTGAAAGGAGTCAGTTTTGATTGTAAAGGATAATTCTGCATGGGTGAGTTCAAACGCTGAAAATAAAGGTTTTGGGCTGGGTTAGCCAGTCGCTGGGAATGCCTGTGGTTGGAGAGCCAAACCCCATGGACTGTGCACTGCCCTGCTCTCTCAGGTTTTGAGATATGCAGACTCCAAATCCCTTCTTACAGAGGGATTCCCAAGAAACCAATTCATCCTTGAAGATGGAATAAAAATCTTAAACGTGAAGCCAGGAAAAATTTCCAGTCCCCAACATGGAGTAAATCACTCAGATGAATGCAGCACCTACGCCGGACAAAACATTAACAGATGCTGAAAATCCCTCCTCCAGCCCCACTCCCCACAACTCAAATCAGCATTATTCCTGCTTACAACCCACCACTCTGCAAGATGGTTCTGCTGGCACTGCTACAGGTGAGCAAGTCAGCAGGCAGCTCAGAAAACCACGTCATTTTACTCTTCCCA